AGCCCATGAAAAAACAGAGTAGTGAGGTGCCTGCCCCAGGTCCCATCCCTGCGATGCTTGCATCGGTAATGAGCACTTAGTGAGCACTGAGGGGTGTCAGCATTCTGCTGGGGGATGGGAAGTCAAGGTGGAGTGGGACACAGTCCTTGGCCGTCACAAGGCTGACTGTCCAGGGGAGGAGGGTGTGAAAACAACGATTACAGAACAACACGGGGGACACGGAGCTAGCAGTGCTCAGAGAAGACTGCAGGAGCCTGGAGAGGGGGTGGCTCTAGGACCAGAGCGTTCCACAGCTCAGCTCCCAGGCCCCTGGCTGTCAGAGCCCATGGGCTCTCTGCAGAAGAAAGTTTGTTTTAAAAATCCTGCTTACTGAGCTGCCCATCGGAGCTACATTACAACCCTCTGATTTAAAAGGAAGCGCAGTCTTACAACCTCACGTGCATTAAGAAGAGCAAATCCTGCCCTAGCTGGTTTGGCTCCGTGGATAGCACGTTGGCCCATGGACTGAAGGGTCCCGGGTTCGATTCCAGTCATGGGCACGTACCTCAGTTGCAGGCTCAATCCCCTGTCTCCCATCGATGTTTCCCTCTGCTTCTCCTCCTCCTCCCTTCCACTCTCTCTAAAAATCAATGGAAAAATATCCTCAGGTGAGGATTAACAATAACAGAAAAGAAGAAGAGCAAATCCTAACTGAGCTTGCATTTGGGCAGAGCCTAACAGAGCAGTCACACGTCTCATGACACGAGCACCCTCCTTGCACGTGGTCCCCGCCATCAGGCCCAAGAGAGGCAGTAAGCTTTCATCCAGAACCTCTGACTTCCAACTCCCTCCCCAGGCCACCAAATGAGATAGAAACAAGAATAAAAACAAAGCCACTTAAAAATGGAGCCAGCGCTACCAGTGCCAGTGCCAGAGGGACTGCCTTGCACAACTTACGCCTCAAACGTTTGAAATGCCAAGAGGGCAAAATGACCTTTAGATGGGGCCTCAGCAACCTTGCTTCCCCCAACACTGCTTGCAAAGATAACAAGAAAGCAGTTATTATGACTGCTGGCCGGCTGGCTACCAGATTGAAAATTAAAAACATTGTTTAGAATATCACTATGTTATCTACACCGACAGAAATACCTCCCTTCTGTTGATGTCACGGTTCTCCCTCCCGTTCTCTTTGTGTCCCAATCGGAACATTATTTGGGCTTTGGCCTGAATTAACGATTCCCGAACAGCTATTATTACTGATCTCAATAATAGCTCGTTTAGCTCTCACTTTGAAAGACCTTTTGATGTTTAGGTGAGCAGAGACACATCCTGGCTGGCGGCTGGGGAGAGCCATACCAAGGGAGGGGTCCACCATCAACATGAATGGCCCCACCACTCTCCTGAGGGCTCTCATGCCGACCCTCCGACCCTCCCCCCCTTCCTCCAACTCCCACAACTGGCCTCCCCTTCCTTTCTGCACCCCTTCTTCCCCCAGGAGAGTGGAGTGTTTTGGCTTCCAACCCAGTCCTGTAAGGGAGAAGAGGAAGGAGGAACCAGAAGGCTCCTTCCCCTGCCTGTCATTCCCAGCAGACTCTGCCATGGGGGGCCAGCGGAGAGCTTAGCCACTAGTACAGCTGATCGTCACTATTTTACACACGCAGACCTGGGGTACAGTTTCCCCAAGAGGTGGGGTTCAAACCCCTGCCCACCTGCTCCAAAGCCCCCTTCTCTAATATGACGCGAGAGAAAAGGTGAAGGGACAAGGAGCGTTGGTGTCTTGCAGCTCCGGGTGTGACCCTCAGACCGACAGCCTACAATTCACCTGGGAGCTCGATCGAAATGCAGGCCCCCAGGCCCCGCCCCAGACCTACTGGCCGGGAACCTGCATGTTAAAAAGCTCCCAGGTGACTTCAATGCCTAGTAGTTTGAGGAGCCCGGGGCTGGGTCGTGGTCTGCAACCCCGAAAGGACACTGGATTCACCTGGGAAGCTGTGCAAGACGCTGACGCCCAGGTCCTGCACCCCGTTTTGATTGAACGGGTCGGGTGCCGCCTGGGCACCAGGGTATCTTAAAGCCCCCAGGTGGTCCTAACGGGGAGCAACCTTGGCGAGCCCGTGGCAGGAGCCGCGGGAAAGCTGAGGGCTGTGAAGTTGGTTGCCCCGGGCGGCGGGCCCCCTTCTTCGCCAGGCCCGAGCCGCGGCAGGGGGTGACAAGCTCAGGAAGCGGGCAAAGACCCCGTGACGGGCAAGGAAGCGTGCGGGTTTCCTTCCGCCGGCGCCCGGTTGCACAGACAGCCGCTGCCGGTGTTGTACGTCGATGTCGTCCGCCGCGC